ATATAGTACGATAAAGTAGTATGATTTTTTCGTTTGATATTATAATGTTACTATCGATCAGTAATACAGTTTGTTGACTGTGTGCATGAAATGCATTCAATTCAGCTCACACGTGTTATGAAAATAATTGTTGAGCTTTCGAACTACGATATTAGTTTAGATGTATAGAGATAAGTACCTAGATAACTATATGCTCCTGCTCTTTTGGACTGGGCCGATAAAATTCATTTTTTTTTATTTAGAAATTATACAATCTATACACTGTGAAATAGTATAATAAGCATAAATTACGTTCTTTTTATATATAATGTGGTAATTTGAGTGGCTTGAGGGAAGAACCAACCAGTGAAGGCACTTGGAGATATAATACATATTTTAGAATACTAGCTCTCTTTTTATTTTGTATTATTATTGTAAACCAAAATCACCCACAGGCCGCAAAAGCTATTGCGCCTAAATTTTGATTTTTGCATAGCGATCGGTCAATAGCTGTACAGGGAAAACGATACATCGTACAATATAATAATAAGTTATACAGTCGCGATATTATATTATTATGTAACACCCGAACACTCATCAAACACATTATTGTAATGTAATAATGATACGGTCGCGTACAAACATGTGCACATAACAATAATAAGTATAATATAATATCTGACGTACATCGTCGATGCACGCGTCACTGGTCAGACTAGCATATACAATAATAATATTATAATGCATGGTGTGTCTACCTACCTATCTAATCATTATACGACTAGAAATTAGAGTTCTATAATAATATCATTATTGTATTTATAAAATTAAAAGACAGAAAAACAAATGATAATAATTATTAATTACCGGTCCTAGGTGTACCTATCTATTATTGTGTAAAGCCAAGAGGTGCAGCATCGTTATACGGGACGAGAGGATCAGAGGGGGACGCTAACAATGATAAATGTAACGTGAAAAAAAATTAAAATAAATAAAATATCCTTTATTGTCTTCTCTATTTTATACCATACAGAAACAATATGTGGAGGGTGTGTCCTTATTATAGTTGTGTGTGGCGTGTGCGTGTGTGATTGTCCGTCTCGCATGGTCTATATACCTATGACTATAATATTATACACTATTATAATATTATAATATTGGGTACACTAGTACACTACGATAGATTATACTACACTCAAGCCCGGATTAAGGGGAGGTCCAGGGGGGGGGGCATGCCCCCGGGCCTCGATAGTTGGAATTTATTTAGGGGCCTCAGATTTGTCCGTTACTTTTTTCGTTGTAAGCTATTTTCGTTACAGGCTATAACACTGCATAAATCAAGTAAAAAAAAATCGTTGATCATTTAGCGAGGAAAAAAACTTGTAAATTATAATTTATAAATAAAGTGATACATTATTCATTATTTATTGATATGTACCTAATACCTATATATATTTATTATAACCGGTACCTAATATTAAATAACATTATATTACATTATATTTGTTTTTCGTACAGGGGCCCCTATATAAAACTTTGGCCCTTGAGCTTCAAAATGTCTTATTCCGGGCTTGACTATACACCCTTCAGCGGCGTCGGCGGTCCTCGTGAAAAAGAATAAAACGTCGGACTCCGTGTATAATAATATAATGCGAACGGATGGGAAATAATAATAAATAATTAAATAACAAGTGTCCCGCATTCTTGGGGGCATTCAAACATGAAGAGGAAGACGACGACGACGACGACGACGACGACGACAATAATAATAATAATAATAAAAGTGGACGGCGGTCGTCGGAACGGAAAACGCGCGCATTGTGCATTATATTATTATCGTAAGCTTCAGAAGCTCGCAAAACCCTCGGACGATCTAGAGAGATTCCTCGACACACGCGTTTGTCGTTTTTGGATATTATTATTATTATATTCTATGTAGTACGCGTTCGTATGTGTAATATTATTATTGTGTACGTCGAATAGACGATATTTTTATTATTATTATTATTACGATAAATCGAGTTTATCGACCGAACGCACACGGTGTGTGCGAGTGTGTGCGCGCCATACACAGGTTAGCGCACGATGTACGTAATGTGTGCATGGCGTAGTATTACACACAATAAAGTAGGTAATACCTATACTACCTGTCTACCTACCTATTCGCTCATCTCTGGCCTTTATTACTATAGTATTATTATTATTATTATTATTATTATTATTATCATCATCTATCGCGGCGTGCAATAACACAATATTATATTGTTTTACCTATTATACGTCTGTCGATATTGGTTCTTATAATATAGTTGTATTGTAAACAACTATCCATTGTTGTTATATATTTATATGTAACAATATATTGTGCGAATAAATGTTATGATAATATGTTAAAATGTCATTAAATATTTAAGTGTAACAATTTTCATTACGATAACACGACGAGCATTATAAAAAAGGTAAAGTGCGCGTGCCATCGCCGTCGGAGCGAAAAATATAATATTAATGCCCCTCGACCTGCAGTGACGACGGCCTACAACCACCAACACTATATAATTATTATACTTTGTAGTTTTGTGGCTCTGATTATAAAACTTATAATATCTTGAATATTATAATAATTTACGAATTTTGTCGTTGTTATTGTTTGTGTAGTGTAACTCGACGACGACGGTTTAGTACATTATAATACATTGTTCAAATATAATTTCGCGATTACCACTCCGCGGACCACCGCCGACGCGCGTGGCGTGCGAATATTATACGACTGCGGTGCCCTATACATGACGTAGAGCAGGACGTGGACGTGGGGACGTAGAAGGCGTCTATATTAAATATATTATTACGTATATAATAATATTAATAATATGCGATACCGACTGAAAAACGCGAAGTTATAAGCACGCGAGAACATTGTATATTTTGTAGGTATACCTATATTATATTATATTATAGGTATATCGTATATGCCTGTGTAGGAAAAAAAACGGGTAGAAGGAAACAATCGGATAAAAAATCGTATCGATCGGTCGGCGGCGAGAGGGGAAACGAAAAAAAAATTCTTATACCTTATATATATAAATATAATAGTTTAATTGTAAAAAAAATAACCACCGCCGCCGCAGGCGGGCGACCCCGCGTATTATTTCATAGTCGTTGACCGGACGTCTTGCGACGACCAGAAGCGGGATACCGTCGCGAGTGGCGGTGGGAGCGGCGGTAGTCGTCGAACTACGCGGGCCGTACGCGGTACGACGTCTTTTTTCATCCTATAAAAAAATAATAATAATAATAATATATTAAATAGGTTACGCACAATCACCCGTCAGCCATCAGCTGCCACCCGCCGCCGCAGCCGTCGCCACCGCCTCCTCCTCCGCCAGCCTCCTCCACCGCCGCCGCCGCAGTCCCTATTTTATTCGAGTGCCCGTAGAAAGGGAACACACACTCGTGTTGTCGGCGGGTCTTTGTCTCCTCGAGGCGGCGGTGACACGATGACGTCGACCGGCGGCGGCCCTCTTCTCCAAATAATAATAGTAATAATATTACTATTGCTCTGCGATATCTCTACGGGACGGTGCCTGTAAATGAAATATTATTCATCTTAAAATATAAATAAAATAATTATTTATTTTTTCGAAAACGATAATCGTATAATATTATATGGGACGAGATCGTTATCGTTTATCTGTAACAATATTATCGCCGCCGGTCATCTGGCGAAACGAATTCGTTTTCGGACCGTAATAATAATAATAAATAAGTAAACCCGCCAGCCTACGCCGCCGCCGCCACGTTTCCAAGGAACTCGGGACTTGGCGCGCGCCGCGGACAGCGCAATGTAAGACGCACAAAGCGTCGGCAATCGGCACCGGCCCTTTCGGCGGCTTACGAGGAAATGCCACACACGCACATGTGCGCGGCGGCGAGGGATGTGCCGCCCGTCCCCCGTCGTTAAGGGATCGAACGGGCCGCCGCCGCAACCCGCTCGGCGTTTGTTGCGTCGTGTACAGCCCCCTCCCACCCCGCGACCCGTAGGTCGGACCGACGAGAGAGGATTGTGCCCTCCGCGGCTCCGCTCCGCATCGCCACCGCAACACGACCTATGTTTCGGTGGCGGAGAGGACGCCGCCGCCGCCGCCGCCGCTGACGACGACGACGACCGACCGACCGCCGCGACCGGCCGAATATTACCGTGCGCGCGACCGTGACAACGGTGTCGGTGCCGCACTGTTGAAGTGGGTTCACTACCACCACCACGACTGCTGTCGCCGCCGAGCTCCGACTCCGAGTGTATTGCACCGAAGAACAATTATTATTGTTAACACTATTATTTTTTTTTCCTTTTTTTTTTTATTTTAGTTTTTATTATTATTATTATTATTCCTCCGTCGTCGTCTTGTTCGTGTGCCGTTCACTGCACGGCCGCAGATCACACAGCGCGGCGACAACGACGATAGTAATTTCCGCCAAACACATTCGGCCGTGTTCTCTCCGACTTCGGCTCTCTTCCGCCTCCCGAAACAATGAACAGCCAATAATCTCTCTTCCGATCCGCGCGGACTTCGAAATAATTTACTATCGGTCCCGTGATAAGTCGGAGCCCGTCGCCGTCTATACATCACCGCATTCGGTCAGTGGACGACGAGCGCCCAAGTCGAGTCGTCGTCGCAGTCGGACAACAAGTGCGCTTTCATGCCAACGAAAGTTTTCATTTAGTAATTTATTAAATTTTTCTCTTCTATTTCATTTTCTCTCTTTCCCCGTGACGCTTTACGGAACTGGTCTCGCTCGTCAATACACCCGTTTATATTACACTTACGTATACGTTATCGTGTATACGTAAGTAATTCGTGTACCTATATGTATATCGTACATAATAATATCAGGAAGTATACTTTGTGCGAGACCACTGCGACGATGCGGACGGGAAACGGAGCCGAGACCGAAACTATGCCATCGACCAGCTGCAGGATCGCCTAAATGCGTGTCTTCAGGTACTACGTGACTCCCGAACAGCTATGAGTATCACGGTCACCACCATTAATCCCGTATCGACAATTAAAGAGATGCCTTTGTCTCGGAACCGGCCGCACATACTGTTGTCCAACAACAACGGCACGTCGAGCACGTCCAATGACTCGTGCATATCGCAGTCTGACTGTGGTAGTGATCACCTGCCGTCGTTACTCAAGTACTCTCAAATTCTAGAGAAATCCAACGCTGCCACCGTCAACAAACTGTCGAAAAAGTGCTCCAAACCGTCAAACCTCGACATAATCGTCGACAAGGCGACAAGCAACATAGATTTGTACGTGGAAAACAAGGACGCCCTGTATGGCATCGGAAAATCGGCCACCGCTTGTCTTCAGCCAATCATAAAGCATGACGATTTGAGCGGCTCACCAAATTCAAAGGTCGCGTCACTGAACAAACCGAAAAAAAAAGGCTTCACACCTGACTATGTTTGCAGTAAGTACAGCAGTAGCTTGAGCAAATTTGAAAAAATCGAGATATTTGGTTTCCCAGAAGTATATTTTTTTGGCATTGAAGCAGACAAGAAGCAACGACCTTTCAATGGAACACAATCGCTATTTGACAATGATCAAGGTGGCTATGTTTTTGTCCCTCATGACCATGTTGGTTATCGTTATGAGTTGCTCAAAGTAATTGGCAAAGGCAGTTTTGGTCAAGTAGTCAAAGCATACGACCACAAGCTGAACGAACATGTCGCACTCAAGATTGTCAGAAACGAGAAACGGTTTTATCGGCAAGCCCAAGAAGAAATCAGAATATTAGAACATTTGCGCAAGCAAGATATTCACAATTTAATGAACATTATTCATATGTTTGATAGTTTTACATTCAGAAAACATATGTGCATTACTTTTGAACTTCTATCCATCAATTTGTATGAACTAATCAAGAAAAATAAATACCAAGGGTTCAGTCTTCAATTAGTGAGAAAATTTAGCCATTCACTACTAGTATGCCTCGATGCTTTATACCGAAACAAAATAATTCACTGTGATATGAAACCAGAAAATGTTCTCTTGAAACAGCATGGCCGTAGTGGAATCAAGGTAAATACTAAATACCTATTAAGTGTTAATAATATTAATTATTATTTTTCCATAATGTATTTCATATTATGTTTTCTAATGATCGGTATTAGGTCGGTATACCTATGTTGTGCCATTCTTTTCCAATCACCATCTAATTTCAATTAAAACAATTTATTAGTCAGTTTTAGAACTGCACGTAGTTGGTAGATGCCTCAGTAAATGCTAACTATTAGTATACTAACCGTCTATTCACATTCAACATTTCTTGAAAATAAAAAAAAGAACAAACCTAAAAAGTATTTAGGTAGGTAGGTAGGTAGGTACATAATATTGGGCTTTCCAGTTTTAGTTTTAGATTTAGTTGTATTTGGTAATAAAAAGGATTATTATTCTGATTTTAATTTGATATTTAAAAACATTTATGTGAAATAAATGAATCATTTCAGAGTTTTGATTTAAGTTATATAATCATGGAAATTCAACATTATGTATTAGTACTACTCACTGTCCTTTGGCTTATTTATTTATAAACTATGAGTCATATACATTCTTTTTATCATTATACTATAGTCTATAATCATATTCAGTAATGCTAATTATTCATGAGTATATGTATTTATTTTTAATACTCACTACAAGCATAAATAAAAGCACATCTCAAACTTCTAAGCAATAAATAAAACAAATATATTTTTGTAACTAATAATTTTATTGAACTTTGGTAGGCACCTACCTACATTATTATATACAATTTTGACTTAATTCATAACTTATATTGGTACCTACCTACTTACTTATACCTACCTATGTTTCTAAACTTAAAGTTACACTTTTTTTATAAATAGGTAAAAATAGGTACCTACAGCCTATAGGTATATTTATTTTAACAAGCTTTTGCAGTAGGTACGCTATATTTAAAACTTTCAAAATTTTTGAAGATAATATGATTTAAATTAAAAAATAATAGGTAATTCAATAGATATTTGGTTTACCTAATACATTTTAGTAAGCCAGTAAAATACATTTTATATTATTTACTATCTACTTTTACAATATATTTTTTATATTAAAGTACTTGACATCAAATCAATTTCCCTTTCCCTTAAAAAAGGATGTTAGATGTTAGTATGCTACCATTGGGTAGTATTTGTTTAAGTATTTGTTTTCTCTCTCTGATCTAAGTGCAAATAAAGCAATTTTCATTCATCAGAACTAATCTTGTGTTCTTAGTTTTAATATTTGAGAAAATTCACCCATTATCAAACTTAAAGTCGCTTAAAGTTAAGAACATTATTTGAGTTAATACGCTAGATTTTTTTTACAATATTTTATTTTAAATTTAAATTTTTTGCAAGTTATGAGGATGTAAAATATTATATATAATTAGGTAAAAAAATTAAATATCATAAAAAAATTCCAATATTCTAACACAGCTAAAGTTCTTAACTTTAATTGTGATTGTTAATTCACTAAAATATTAAATCTGTTAAAATGTGATATGTCAGAGAGAGAGAAAAAAAAAAGGAAGAACCTCTAAAGTATTTTTTTTTAAATAAATTGACTATTAAGTACTATTTATTTTTTGTTATTTTTACTGTTAAAATGTATTTTGTAGGTCTCTTGGGTACCAACAAAGTATAAAGCATATTTAAATTATCAGTTTAACAAAACACAAATATTTTCTTATAGCCTACTTATTGAGTATAATTAATTCTATTGATCTTAGATAATTACATTTGTTTATAACTACTAATTTCTAGTGTGTTCTTTGTCCTAGTGGACACTTAAAAGTTTTTATCATAATGAAATACCATTAAAGTAAATGTGTTACTTCTTATATGCACACAGTAGAAAATTAAGTAACATTGGGTGTTGGGATATTTGTTTTATCTCTAGTTTTATTTTTTTTTTTAAACGTGTAACTGTTTATAAATAATTATATTGAATAAGAAATCATCTATTACATGAAAAAAAAAGAAAACTTTAAATAATCAATTTTAAATTTCAAATATTCGTAAGGTTCTTATAACTTAGTTCAGCCAGAGATATGGCAGCTCTGTAAGTGCAGATCATAATTTTATTCTGCCATGAGTGTGATACAGATGCAAATAACAAAGTTATCTTTCCTAGTTTACTAATAACTATTATATGTAGGTAGTAATCATTATTACAAACAGAACAAATTAAATTAAATTATTATTTTAGTGGGAACACTAATACTACCTATATAGTATAGTATAGTGCCTATACTCATGTCTAATATTTATTTTGTTTTATAAAATGAAATTATGTAGATAGAATATATTATTTTGTTTTTATTGATTGCACTTACCTATATCTATTTGTTTTCTTTTAATAAATGTCTATAATCTATATTGGTTTATAATTGATTCTATTATTTTTACAATGTACTTTTGTTTTCAGGTCATTGATTTTGGTTCAAGCTGTTTTGAACATCAGAGGGTGTACACTTACATCCAAAGTCGCTTTTATCGAGCACCTGAAGTAATCCTGGGTGCAAAATATGGACTTCCAATTGATATGTGGAGCTTAGGTTGCATTCTCGTAGAACTATTTACCGGTTTCCCATTATTTCCAGGTGAAGATGAAACTGATCAATTGGCTTGTATTATTGAACTTTTAGGAATGCCACCTAAAAAGCTTTTAGATGCTTCAAAGCGTGCTAATTATTTCATAAGCTCTAGAGGGTATCCAAGGTATTGCTCCCAGACCACATTACCTGATGGCTCAACCATTCTCAAAGGAAGTATATCACGGAAGGGTAAAGCTCGAGGACCACCTGAATCTAAAGACTTATCAAAAGCGCTCAAAGGCTGTGATGATCCACTGTTCTTAGATTTTATTACTCAGTGTTTGGAATGGGACCCTGAGCGCCGTATCACACCTGCTATGGCGCTAAGGCACAGTTGGTTACGTCGTAGACTTCCGCGTCCCCCAGCTGCTGAACATCAACATTATTCACAAGAAAGCACTCCTACTAGTTTAAGGGTAAAATTATCCGAGTCAAATCATCATCAAACATTGCCCATGCATTCCAGGAACTCTCAGATATCGGGTAAACTACCCCAGATCACATCTACATGTATTATGTAATAATTATCCTTAAAAAAATATATTGTACTATGGTTGTAATTCCTGAATGAAGATGATTAAATTTAGATGAGTAGGTAGATTTATTGAAGATCTAAACCTTGTGAATTATTTGTTGAAAAATAGGTATTTACCGATTTTAGGATCTCTAGGTCGGCATAATGTTATGTTTGTCTCAATTATATTTTAAGATTTTTTTTTTATACTCCAGTAATTTTTAACTCAGACAAATATATGTAATATTAGAGAAATGTTTAATTTTTTTTTGTGTGTACAAATTTGAAATTTAGCCAATTATATTGTAAGTTCTGTAACTTGTAATTGTGGTTTGATACAAAAATTGACTATTACATACTTGATTGTATTTAATCTTAGATTATATTTATAAGTTGTATTATAAAAATATACCCTACGTAAAAAAAATTATTGTTTAAAATGTAATACATTTTTTTTTTTCTTACCATTCTTTGTTTATATAAAATGTAAACTGATAAACTTTATAAAAAAAAACCAAGCAAATATAATTGTGTATAAATTGTGATTCAAATGTTAATCAAATGTCAAATGTCTATCATATAAATATTAAAAATAGTTATAAAATGTATTTCCATTCACAAAATCTGTACAACTTTTGCAATAACGTGTGTGTTCATTTTTTATTTTATTTTATAAATTTTTAGAATATTTTATTGTATTAGTTTTAATTATTGTTTATTAGCAGATTACTCCATGAATGATGTTCAATTTTGAATTTTCATTTAATTTATATTATTGAATGAGCTGAATAAAAAAAAAACTTGTACTCAAATTGACTATTAAGATAAGTTTAAATTATCATTTTAATTTATTTATTATTAATGAGTAGTTACTTATTGATATAATATCAAATTATCATAATGTAGGCATTTTTTAAATGATGACAACAATGTTTTTACTTATTCTATATAATAATATGTATTTTAATCTCCATTATATTACATGACATGTGATAAAATCTTGAGTCTGCTATTCGAATTATTGGATAACTCAAAGTTGAATTAGACAAAGAGAATACAATTTTTGTTTGTAATTTTTATTATTATTTCACATTGGAAACGAAAGAGTCAGATTTCAAGAATTTAATCTTAATCGGTTTTGATTAGCGATTATAGTTAAGGTAAACATAACATAGACAATTAAAGTTAAAGTTCATTATAGTTAAGGCTAAAATAATTTTAATTTTAAAAAGCAACAATGTAGAATTTTGTCGTAAGCTTTTTGTTTCCATTATTGTAAATATAATATATATTACGTTTCTAACGACTGATATTTATGTAAATAAATACATAGATAAAATATCTTAAGTTCAACTGCGGTCTCAACATTTTATTTAACAACCAAAATAAATATAATTACATTTAGACTTATTTTTATTTGAAATTTATTTGCCATGATTCATTGTATCCCAATAGAACATACTAGGTAGCATAATAGGTAGGATCTATACCTATTCAGCATCATAATATTAAAACACTTAGGGCCGTTCTTACGACGTCCGGTTAAAGTTAACCGACACTTAACCGGAAGAATTCTGCCGGTAATAAAATCTGTTATCAGTCGGTTAGCGTTAACCGACACTTTACCGGACATTGTAAGAACGGCCCTTAATTATATAAGAATATAACACTGAAGAAGGTATTTTGTACTTAAATGTCTTGGCAAATTATGCATTTATAACTTACTAATAAATACCTGTTATTGTTATACAATATTGTAACATTAATTATATGATTCAATGTACATATTTTGTATCATACGTTCATATTTATTCATACATATAAATTGTTAGAATGCATAACAATTGTCAATTGATAAATAGTATATTAGGTGTATACCAATAATTATATAGTTAAATGTATTAAGCTGGTATTTTGAATGTTGTACTTAGATTACAAGTAAAAGATATTGGAATTCTAGAAATATATTACGGTGAATTTAAAATACAACTAAAATATTATATTGTATTGAATATTTAAATAATTTTTGTAAACCGTTCATAAATTGTTGGTTTATAACTAAAATACTGATTTGCCATTTGCCACCATATTTCAATACCATTGTCCTTCAAATTATATAAGGAAAATAAAACCAATTTCTAAACAGAACACGGTCTATCTCGAACGATTTCAAAGTTGAACTTTGAACTTGTTATTATTTATCATACTTTTAGTAGATATAGACATATAGTAAAATAAATATGTATTTCAGATTAACTTGTATGTATGTAATAGAATTTCCCCACATACCAAGCTACACTGATTTTTATTATTTATATAGGTTATATATAGGTTTATATATATGTTTATACCTACTTGGTACTTTTTTAGGTACCTTTTTTGTTATTAATATTAGTTATAAAGACTTTAAAGTATAAAAATAAGTTTTTATGTGATTCAATCCAGAAATGAAAAATATTTTTCTTGATAAACATTAAGATCTTAAATCTTAATAAGAAAATATATATTTTGCCAGTTCAAAATGTTTTTGTAAGTCTAATTTATTTTGATAATTTTGATTGTCAAAGCCAATTGCATGGCTTTTAGATTCTGAGCTGATCGATAAATGTATTTATTTTACAATGTTCAAATACGAAAATATCACAAAAATTTGCAAATTATTTTGAGTTGGAAATTCATAAAAATGTTTTCTTTTTAAATCTAAGATTTGAAAATGTAATACAAGATTCCTCACAAGTTTGTCTACATTTATCAAATAACAAAAAATGTCCACAATAAAGTCAAATAATTGTTTAATGAGCGTTTAAAATTCATATTTTTACAACATTGGATGATCACTGGATTTTTCATGTAGCGATTTTCTTATTTTGTTGTAATTCAATAACGAATAACTGTAGATACATGAAAATTTCACTGAATGCTTATATTTTCATCTTTTATGAAAAATTACATTTTTTAAATATTTTAAATAGTTTTGAGCTGTTAACAGACATTTTCCGTTTTAAATTGTATTAGTTTTTTTTCCATACCTAATTGTCTATACAATTTTATTTGTTGTGTAAAAATGCCTGAAAATGTAATACAAGGGTTCTAATATACCTATTGTTACTTTAGCAGTTGAAAAATATTGAAAGTACTTAGGCACAATTTTTTTATATGCCTTTAAAGTTCGAATTTCCGCAAAATTTATCCAATTTAAAATCTAATAATTATTTTGTAGTTAAACTTTTATAAAATGTTAAACTCTTAAAGCTAAAGATTTCATAGACTGACTGACCGTTTTCATTTAGAATCGTTTTTCTTATACAATGATACTATATCAATGAATTCAAATTTAACACCATCCATTACAGTGACCCACTTGTAGCCTACTGTACAGCAGAACGGCACCCCCATGATCACATATTTTTCTTTTAAGCTTGTATTTTTTAGGTGTTTAATCACTAATTAGTAATGAACGAATGTTATGTCAACCAAATAAATTTAAGATAGAAGAGTAATAATTGGCTGTGGTGAAAGTTCTCTCTGTAACTCAACAACGCTAAAACCAAGAAGAGGTGCTCTAGCTGCATGGTATTAAATTTGAATTCAATGATATAATATCATTGTATCAGAAAAACTATTCTGAGCGGGGACGGTATGTCAGTCTAGGTTTAAGAAATATTATATACATATCTATGGTATTTTAAAAAATATTGACCTAACATAGGTATTTACCTATAATAAATTTAAAATTAATCATATCACAATATCCATTAGGTAATCATAACGCGTTATACATCAACAAAAAACCCGGATACTATCATAGATATAATATAATAGTGTATAGGTACTTTGGAAGTTTCAAATACCCACGAATAATATTACACAATCACAACAAAATAACTAGGTTTTTTCTACGTAATTTCATCCAAATTTTAACTTAAAATGACTATACAAATAAACTGCTTGTGTATTTTTTAGATTTTTTGGTAACAGAAAAAACTACTTACGTGGAATCTTGTTTTAAATTTTCAATCCTTAGATATAAAAGTTGAACATTTTATACATTTTTAACTACAAAATAATTATTCAATTTTAAATTTGATAAATTTTGAAAAATTCGATCTTTAAATGCTAATAAAAAAAAATTGTGCATATGTATTTTTAATATTTTTCAACTGATATTCTAACAATATATCAGGAGCATTGTATTAAATTTTTACACTTATTGGCCCAACAGATAAAACTTTATTGATATTTATAGAATAAAAAACTAAAAAAATCGGAAACTGAAAATGTCCGTAAACAGCTCAAAAAGAGTCAAAATATTTTCAAAATTGTATGATGTATAGGAAATGCTTATATAAATAGTCAATGGAATTTTCATGTATCTACAGTTATTCGTTTTTGAATTATAACAAAATAAGGAAATCGCTACATGAGAAATCGAGTGAATATCCAATGTTGTAAAAATTTGAATTTCAAACGCTCATAAAAATTTAATTTGACTTTCTTATAGACTTTTTTTTTTTTTGATAAATGTAGATAATCTTATAATGAATCTATGAATCTTGTATTACATTTTAAAATCTTAGATTTAAAAAGAAAAATTTTTACGAATTCTTAACTCAAAATAATTTACTAATTTTTGTGATTTTTCCATATTTTGTCAATTTTTGAACTTTAAATGCTTATAAAAAGAAACTCTCTCTAAGGATTTTTAATATTTTTCATATACCATTGTAACAATATAGTAGGAGTATACTCTAACCAACTTTTTTTAACCAACAAATAAAATTTTATTGATATTTTTAGAAAAAAAAACTAAAAAAAAATGGAAAATGAAAATGTGCCTAAACAATTCAAAATAAATCAAAACATTTTGAAAATGTTATCGTGTATAGAAAATGCTAATATAAACATTCAGTCAAAATTTGATGTACCTACCTACGGTCATTTGTTTAAGAGTTGCAACAAAAACCAAAATCGATTTTTTCGAAAACAGATTTTAGTGTAAAAATTCCC